TGACAGGAAATATGAATGTTGCACGAGAAGAACACACAGCAACCACATTAACAAATGGATCCGTATTAGTTACTGGTGGATCCAACGGCAATAATCCTGTCAATACTGCTGAGTTGTACAATCCATCAACAGGCACTTGGACAACCACAGGAAGCATGAGTACCGCACGATATTTTCACACAGCATCCACATTAACAAATGGATTAGTGTTAGTTGCTGGTGGATACAACGGTGCCAGTGCTTTCAATAGTGCTGAGTTGTACAATCCATCAACAGGCACTTGGATAACTACAGTAAACATGAGTACCGCTCGATATTATCACACAGCATCCACATTAGGAAATGGAAAAGTATTAGTTGCTGGTGGATACAGCGGTAGTAGTTATCTCAATACTGCTGAGCTTTATTGATCGATATAGACAGAATGGCATTTTCTTTTTTAGATTGAATCATAAACTTTTTTTTATATATAATCAAACTATTTAATCATTCACATTGCTTGATAAATTATCATTCACAAATAATAAATGAGTTCACCTAATATTTCAAAGTCATATTTTATGGTTGTTTTTGAAAAAGAGCCATAATTGATAAAAGATAGATCATTATTTGTACAACTGAGTGTATATAAATACAGATGTGAAGAATATTAATCATTTATTGCTCTCAACTACATATATTTGGATGAGAGTGAGTTCGCATGTGATGACAACGTATGAGTTATCGTTCTCACGTATATATCAGAGATGAATAACTCAATATTTTTTTGAAACATATCAATTTTTTCCAACTACACCCTTTTTTTTCAAATAGTTTAATCAGCTTAATTGTTGTATTTTAGAAAGTAGATATATTTTATGTTCTTATGATGTGAGTAATTTTATAAAACGGATGATATTCTCGACATAGAACAAATCAAATGCTCCTGTCAAAGGAACAAGACATATTGTGGAACAACTATTATTTATTTGTGACTAAATGAATGAAAAAGTGAATAGAATCTATATTATCGAAGTAAAAAGAGACGAGTGAGAGTATAAATCAGTATTTTATTCACTCTGGATTGTACATTTATAGTTACTCTTATCAATAAAAATAAGCTCAACAGTCTAAACTACATCAAGCATATAAAAATCCAGTAATAACACGCTCGAAGATAGTCTTGGTGAGAAAATTCTTATTGTTGGTGTTACTTCATTTTTCACAGTACTTAGTGGCTATATCTTCGTTTGTTTGTTTAAATGCATTCGAAATAATGGACGATTGAAAGTATGTAATTCAATTATTCATCTACAACGTAACTATATTTTTTTTATTTTTAGTCTAGTTGATTTATTCCCAAAATTCATCACTGTCATCAACATGTTTGTCACATTCAAAGTGAATTAATTTGAACTTCTACTCAATATGTTCTTTGTTTCTTTAGATCTCAATGATGTATTGCTTGAATTAGTTGTTTTCAATCCGGCTACACCTTTCTAAATTGTTTTATATATATTTTTTATGTATGAATAAAAGATCATATTGATCAATAGTTTTGTTTTGTTTCATTTCTTCTATTTTTTATTATATGATAGCTCTTCACTTCTCTTTATTTTCGCAAGATAATTTAAATAAACTTATGTAAATAAATATTAAAATGATTCTACAAAAAATGAAATCTTAAGGGTCCCCCCTCCCGGGTCAAAAATCAATTTTCTTCTCTGATCACTCAGTCTTAATGCAATATTTGCTGGATATGTCCCTGATCTTTCACAATGTCCAGTAGAAATTTGAGTCCATAATATTGAGTTTTACGAGTTATCCTAACGTTAAGGCTCAACACTAGGTCTCCATATGCAAAACATTTTTGCGCTATCGGGTGTGGGTGGGTATGAATGAAAGAGAATATAGAAACACCCATATTCATACTCACACCGACACCCACACCCACCCTCAAGAACTAAATGAAATCAAAAAAGTAACTTGGAAAAAAAGCAGAATTAGAAAGGCCTCGCGTTCTACGTATTATTTATTTATCAATTTATTTATCTCCTGTTCTTATTATATCTCTTTCTTCGTTTGATACTATCAAAAATAAAAAAATTATATATATTTGCTTTCTTGCTCTTATATTCTTCTTCAATTATTTATTTATTATACATTATATATAACAATATATATATATTCATTTTAAACTCAAATGTTTTCATGTTGATTTGTCAAATTTATGGGGTTGTAGTTGGAATGATTGTAGTTGAAATCGTCGTGGTTGGAATGACTGTGGTTGAAATCGTCGTGGTTGGAATGACTGTGGTTGAAATCGTTGTTGTTGGAATGATTGTAGTTGAAATGGTCGTAGTTGGAATGACTGTAGTTGAAATCGTCGTAGTTGGAATGATTGTAGTTGAAATCGTCGTAGT